AAGAGTTGAGTCCCTGCGGTACTCAAAATTGTAAAAAGGTTTAACGTACTTGATCTTTCCACTTATCAATATTTTGTACTTTTTTTCACCAAAAAAAAATATATATTTTGTACTTTTGGTCCCTCAATTTTTTTGGCATGAAATGTTCCTTAAATTTAATTTTCTAACTCTCAAAGTTGTCCTGTCGTTTAAAGGAACGCCGGTGTATCCCATTTTCGTATTTTGATGGGTAAAAAAAAATTATATTAATAAAAGAGTACAAGTGTTTTTTTATCTGATTTTAAATAAAAAATAACTCTTTATATCAACATATTCATTTTTATTTAAAAATTAAATTTATATAATATAACAAAGTGTAAATTGCACAATTATTTTTAATAAAAAAAATTATCACTCATACAGTACAAATACCTTCGTTAAGTAATGAAATTTAATATATAATTCAAAAATTGAAAAAAAAAAAAAGAAGTAAGAAACATAATTCAACATCCATTTGTGGAGGAAGTCCATTCCTAGAAAACTTCCCCGCAAAGAGGAAGTTGGCCTAGAAATTGGGGTGGGCACCGACGGGACAGAGTACCTTACCCGGTGACTTTTTTCGGTTGCCAATAAATTTTGGCAACGTTTTTCTTTATCAATATCATGTAAAGATATATATATTTTTTTATAATTAAGTATCTATTAAAAGTTTTGGCAATTAAATCTTCTATAGTTATTATACAAATACCTAACTCATATGTAAGTAGACAAATTGACGGAGATTTTTTTAATTTAATGAGAAATTTTGATTTTAAACTTTAGAAATGTAATTTTGTTAAAATTTGTGAGAGAGAGTTTTATCATCTGTTGAGTTCTGTTCGATTCGAATCTGAATTAATCGATGATCCAATGGGTTTTTAAATACCGAATTGGCCAAAAAAAAAAAAACAAATACCGGCTAAATTCATTTTTGAATATGTTTTCATTTGCAAATTTGAGGTATTATTTAACTTTTAAAAACAAATTTAACTTACAATAAAAATATTTTAAATGAAATTGATAGATGAAAAGTCAAATGAAATAATTTTAAATTTATTGTATAAGACAAGGGAAAATATTTTTTTATCATCTTCAAATAAAAAATAACTCTTAATATTAATAAATTCACCATCATTTAAAGGTTAATTTATTGCAATTTAACCGAATCTAAATTGCACGAACATTTTTTATAGGAGCAACTTTCACTCATACAATACAAGTACCTTCATTAAGTAACGAAGTTTAATATATAATTTTAAAAGTGAAAAAAAAATGTAAGGAATACAAATTAAACATCCATTTGTGGAGGACGTCCATCCCTAGAAAACCTCCCGCAAAGAGGAAGGTGGTCTGGAATTTGAGGTGGACACTGGTGTGATAGGGTATCTTGCCCAGTGATTTTTTTGGTTGCCAATAATTTTTGGCAACGATTTTTCTTTACCAATATCATGTCAAGATATTTTTTTCTATAATTAATTACCTGTTAAAAGTTTTGGGCAATAAAATCTTCTAACATTACCATACAAATACCTGCTAAATTTATTTCATACTATTTTTTCATTTGCAAATTTGAAGTATTATTTAACTCCTAGAAAAAAAAATCAATTTGCAATAAAAATACTTTAAGTGAAATTGATAGATCAAAAATTAAATGAAATAACTTTAGATTTATTGTTTGGACTGAGAGGAATAAAAGGAA